ACTAATGTATTTATACCATCGCAGCTTTCTGGTCAATATAATTCATGCACTTCCCAGGAAACTACTTTGGGGCCCCAGAAGACGTGGGGCTCTATAAGGCGCGGGGCCCTGTGCGGCCGCTCAGTTTGCACACCCCTGGCACCGCCACTGTATGTACTCATGCAATTTTTGACATGTATATGTTACTGAGAGTCGTTCTTTTTCAATTTGAGCATACTCTTTTTCAGTCTCTGTTAATGATCTTGATAAAAAACATACTGGTGACTTATTCTGTAGTAAAAAGCATCCAACAGCATCTTACGATGCATCACATTGAATTTCAACTTTTTCACTTGGATCGAAATTGACTAAAGTAGTTGCATTACATATTAAGTTTTTTATTTCCTTAAGTGTATCTCATTCCAGCTCCAAATCTTATCCTTTTTTAATAATTGTCTTAACGGCGATATAATGTGCGACAAGTTTGGTATGAAATCTCTAAGGTAATTTACCACTCCTAAAATCCTTTGCAATTCAGTTTTATTAGTTGGGTCTTGTAACTCGTTTATTGTTTTAATTCTATCAGGGTCAGGCCTCATTCCATTTTCATTAAACAAAAAACGTAAGAATTTAACTTCATTCATTTCGAATTGAATTTTATCTTTATTGAATTTGATATTATTTTCTCTCGCTACCTGTATTACCTGTTCAAGAATGTTATCATGTTCCTCTTTGTTGTTAGCGCTTATCATTATATCATCAAAGTAAATAATTATATCTTTTATTTTAGAAAAATATTTATTTAATAAATTTGAAAAAATCTCTGGCGCTACATTTAACCCAAAAGGTAGTCTTAAAAACTTATAATTGCCAAATGGAGTGCTAAAACTACATAATTTACTTGATTCATCGTCTAATGCTAATGGCCAGAACCCTTCTTTTAAATCTATAACTGTATAAATTTTTTTACCTTTGAGTTTTAGTATAATTTCTTAATTTTTTATTTGGCTTTTTTACTATTACTATATTTGACAGCCAATCTAGAGGATCATTTACTGCTTCAATAACTTTAATTTTCTCTAACTGATCTAACGTTTCTTTTAACCTCTCTTTGATAGCCAATGGTACTCGTCTAGCTGTATTAATTATAGGAGTTATTTTATCTTTTAAAACTAATCTACATTTTTCAGGAAATAATCATAATCCTGTAAACACATCACTATTATTTTTTATAAATTGACTCTCTTTGTTTATTACTTTTATTATTTTAACTAATTCCAATTGTTCACATAACTCTGATCCTAAAATTGTTTCTATTTCTTTCTTTCTATTCTTTCTATTTTGCTATTTTATTTTCAAAAACTAAAAGTTTATCATCTTATTGATAGGAATAAAAGAATGTTATTTTAAATTAACATATAAAATATTACAACAACATATATTGTAATAATTAATTTTATTGAATTGTAATACATTTTAATTTCAACCTACATATAAAGTTTTAGAATTTCAACAGTCTTAGATTTACGGGGCTCAGGTGGTCTGTATCCTACCAAGACACCAATAAATTTATATTATTTAATATGTAGGATAAGATTCTGATATGTATTCCAAGTAAATTTTATTCTTTAGGAACCCCAGAAATGTTGAAAATCAATTGAGTATCATAGTTATCTTTTTATTGTCTGAGTACATATAATAAAAAAAAACTCAGCACAGGGGGGTCGCGGCACAGTTGTGACGTGGTATAGTTGGATCAAGTATAATGATATCTGACAGTGATTAAAATCACTATCAAAATTAAACGCTTCGATGCAAATCTTTAGATAGTGTTTAATTTAAAAAAAATTGGTGTTTTATTCCAAAAGCTACTTGATCTGCTGGTTCCTTATTAATATCTCGATTAAGATAAAGTATGTCGAATGAAAAAGGGTTTATTAAAAAATATTATTTCTCATAAAAAAATTGTGTGGATCCATAAACTTTACAATAAGTTATAGCATTATAAAGTTAAATATAATATAAATCATAAAATCTAGAATTTTCACACGAAAATAACATTCGGTAGCCATTTTCGCCGCGAAGACAAGTCCAGAGGTCAAATTTTTTTTTTTCAAATTAAAGTACATTACATTAGCTTTAATTTAAGATATATATAAAAGTGTCAGACCTTCCGGAACATTTTCAAAAGTTA